TGTCCGCGCTACCCTAAACCCAAGCTCTCCGCCCGCGCTATTCCCTGTGTCTTCCTTGGCTTTGTCCCTGACGCGCCTGGTTGGCAGTTTTACCTCCCCACCTCGCGCCGTGTCTTCCCCTCTCAGGACGTCATGTTCGACGAGTCGGTTCCCTTTTCCTGTCTCTTCCCCTACCGCATTGCCCCTCTCCCCCCCCCCGCCGCTCTTCCTCACTCCAGGTGCTTCCCAAGTAGACCCCCTCCCCACTCCCGGTCCTGCTCCTTTAGGTGTGTCTCAGGTAGACCCTCCTCTCTTGCCTGCGCCAGTTGAGGTCACTGGTGACTCAGGTCTTGCTGAGGATGGTCCTGCTCGGGGTGCTGCTGCTGGGGGTGCTGAGCCTTGGGGTGCGGAGCCTGGGGGTGCTGAGCCTAGGGGTGCTGAGCCTGGGGGTACTGAGTCTGGGGGTGCTTCACCTGGGAGCGCTGAGGCGTCTGGTGAGCAGTCTCCTTGGGGCAGCCGTCTCCGTAGTCGCTCCGCTGGTACCTCGCCGCTGCACTCCCGTCGTCGACTCCCTCTTTCCCCACAGCAGCTGCGTGAGTGGTACGTTGGCCGTCAGGGTCGCGCTGCTGGAGCTAGGGGCTCTGCTGCGAGAGGCGCTGGAGCCGGTGACTTTGCTACTGGAGTTGTTTCTGCCGGAGGTTCTGGAGCTGCTGAGGGTGCTGGAGCTGGAGGTTCTGGAGCTGCTGCGGGTGCTGGTGCTAGAGTATATGGAGCTGGAGGTTCTAGAGCTACTGAGGGTACTGGCGCTGGAGGTCCTGGAGCTGCTGCGGGTGCTGGTGCTGAGGGTTCTGAGTCTGCTGTTGCGCAGTCTCCTTGGAGTAGCCGCCTTCGTCCGTGTGTACCTCTCACCTCTCAGCAGCTGCACGACTGCCACGGTCGCCGTCAGGGTCACGCTTCTGGAGCTCGGCGCTCTGCCGTTGGAGGTACTTCTGCTGCCGTCAGTGGAGCTGGGAGTGGTGCTGGTCCCGAAGGTGCTCGTACTGGAGGTACTGGAGCTGCTGGGGATGGAGGTGCTGAGCCTGACGGTGCTACTGCTAGAGACCCTGGGTCTGGGGGTGCTGTTGCAGGTGACAGTGAGGCTGGGGACACTGGGACTGGAGGTGCTGGTTCTGAGGGTGCTGCTACTGGTGGAGCTGGTCCTAGAGGAACTAGCGCTGAGGGGTCTGGTGCTGTTGGAGGTGCTTAAGCTGCTGGGGGTGCTGGAGCTGCTGGTGCTGGTGGCACTGCACAGTCGCGCCTGTTCTTTGCTCCGCCGTCTCCGTCGTCTCAGCCACCCTCTAACTCTGTACTTCGCCAGGTTCTTAGTCTCCCTTCGTCTACTGGTCTTCTATTACAGCCTGGCTCACCGCTGCCTGCTCCTTCTCCTTATACTAAGCAGTCAGGGGGTCTTACTGAGTGTCGTAAGCCTGCGTTGCGTCCTGTCTCGCCTGTCCGTTCTGGTCCTTTTGGTCGTCGTGTTCCTCGTTCGCGTCAGCCGGTTGTCCCCGGCACCCACCTCGTAGTTCGTCGTCCTTCCTCTCCTCCGCAGCGTGTTCCCCTGCCGTCCCCTCCTTTGTCTTCTGTGCCTACCGTTCGTGAGCCTGAGTCTGACCGCGTTCGTGCTGCTAGCCCTATTGTCACACGTCTGCTAGCCAAAGTTGTCACTGACCCGTCGTTTCAGTCTGCTGCTGCGTCTGCCTTAGCCGCTGAGCTTGTTGACTTTGCTGCTGCCTGTCGTCTAGACTACGCCGCTAGTCTTGTTGCTGAGTCTGAATCTGTCTGTCCTCCGTCCGTCGGGGGTGAGTGTGCTCTTGGCACGGACGTCCTTGAGGACAGGCAGGAGGAACTTGAGTGTCTTGCAGCCACTGCGCCTCATCTCGTGTCCATGCTGCTTGCCCCTAAGGGAGACCCGGATGCTCCAGACATCCCGACCGCGCGCTCTTGCGCTAAGGCGATCGCGGGTGAGTACTCCTCTCAGTGGCAGAGAGCCATGGACACAGAGATGGCATCCTGGAAGTCCACAGGCACCTACATCGACGAGGTTCCCCCTCTTGGGGCGAACATCGTCAGTGGCATGTGGATTTTCAGGGTGAAGCGGCCGCCAGGTTCTCTGCCTGTCTTCAAGGCTCGTTATGTTGCTCGAGGCTTCAGTCAGCGAGAGGGAGTAGACTTCTTTCAGACCTTCTCCCCCATCCCGAAGATGACCACTCTTCAGGTGCTACTCCACGTTGCCGCTCAGCGTGACTACGAGCTTCACTCTCTTGACTTCAGCACAGCTTTCTTACAGGGCAACCTGCATGAGGAGATCTGGCTGCGCCGCCCTCCTGGCTTCACTGGGTCGTTCCCTCCTGGTACCAAGTGGAGCCTCCCGCGGCCGGTCTACGCTCTCCACTAGGCGCCACATAAGTGGCATGACACACTAAGGACGACACTTGCGGCTCTTGGGTTCGCGCCTTGTACTGCTGACCTGTCGATGTTTCTGCTCACCGACACTTCGCTGCCGCCGTTCTACATCCTCGTGTACGTCGACGACTTGGTCTTTGCCACTGCTGACACTGAGGCTCTTGCCCTAGTGAAGTCGGAGCTGCAGAAGAGACACACGTGCACAGACCTGGGTGAGCTGCGCAGCTACCTTGGCTTGCAGATCACACGAGACAGAGCACGCCGCACCATCACACTGACTCAGTCACTCATGGTGGAGCAGGTCCTTCAGCGCTTCGGCTTCACCTGGTCCTCGCCACAGGCCACTCCTCTGGCTACAGGTCACTCGCTCTCAGCTCCACCTTCAGACGAGTCCGTAGAGCCGAGTGGTCCTTACCCAGAGCTACTGGGCTGCCTCATGTACATGATGACCTGCACTCGTCCTGACCTTGCGTACCCTCTTGGCCTTCTCGCTCGCTACGTGGCTCCTAGTAGGCATCGACATAAGCACATGGCTGCTGCTAAGAGGGTACTGCGCTACTTGTGCAGTACATCGGGCATGGGCTCGTGCTTGGAGGGCAGAGCCCAGTTGTCCTCACTAGGCACTCGGACGCTTCTTGGGTTGACGACCTGGCTACACAGCGGTCGTCATAGGGTTACACCTTCAGCCTTGGCTCTGGCTCTGTTTCTTGGCGGTCTACACGCTCGTCTTCAGTTCTCAGCTCCAGTTGTGAGGCTAAGATCTACGCCTCAGCCATGGCTGCACAGGAGCTACGCTGGCTCACCTACCTGCTGACCAACCTGGGAGAGCGGCCTCGTTCTCCTCCAGTGCTATACGTAGACAACCAGGCCATGCTGGCCTTGTGTCAGGAGCATAGACTTCACGTGGCCCTGTCGACGAAGCACATTGCTTTGCGTTACTTCCTCGCTCGAGAGTTGTAGCAGCGAGGTCAGCTTCGTCTTGCTCACGTGGCCATTCGGGCCAACACTGCTGATGTATTCACCAAGGCACTTACGTCTGGTGATCATCAGCGTTTCTGTACTTTGTTAGGCCTGGTGCTTACGTTTCCTCACTTGCTTTAGACCTTGCTTGTACTGTGATCTATATACATACCTGCTTGCTTGCTTTGCTGGTAGAGATCACTGTGATGCTGTTGTTGCATATATACCTCTGCATGTGAACTGGCCTTGTGGCCCTTTGCTTGTGCTCAGTGTGTGTGGTGACGTTGTGATCCACCCTGAGCTTGCTTTGCTTCTCTTGACTGGTCTTGTGACCCCTTGCTCTCCCCCACTTTGCCTATGGGGGTGTGTCAAACTATGATAATGCTTGTGCTGTGTAGGCTGTAGTGGGGTAGCCCATAAAGGGGTACAACCCAAATAAGGGTTAGCATATGTACCCACATCTCTGTTCAATGCGCTCATTCTTGCTGCTAGATTCTAACACCCTTAGCCGTCCGCGTATTCTTCCTTTTGTCGTTATGGAGCCGAGCCCCGACGCCGACTTCGGATGACTTTCCTCTTTGTCACCGAATGTGTCGCGGTTTCAACTTCACTCTCGAGTGGGACGATTTTGGCGTCCTTCGTGACCACAAGAGAGAGTTCAACGAGCGCTGCTTGGGATTCGGCATTAGGTGGGACTCGAGTAGTCGCGTTGGGTAGATGTCGGCGCCGACTAACACTAGATTGGCGCATAGGGTAGATGCCAGCGCCGTTGGGGGTCGCATGGTCGCCGGTTGTCCTATGACTTACGCCGGCGTACGCGGTATTTGGCATTGACCTCGTCTAGGAACTTGACCAGCGTCGCAAGCGTCGACCACGTACAGTCGGCGTTTGACGTAAGGCAGACGTCGACATGGTAGCGTTTGCTCACCCACCCTTTATGCCCAATCGGGCGTTCAGGTACGCTTGGTTTCTCATTGGGCTAGACGACCAGCGGTTGTGGGTAATCGGAGTCGGCCCGCTTCGAGCGGCCATGAAGGCCGCCGACCATTCTTGTTTTGCTACGGTTTTTGACGCCGACATCACCGCTATCCCGTTGAGAACGACGTGAGCTGTCTCCCCCTTGTCCAGTTATCGTTTTGTTTTGTCACATCATCGCCTAATGTTGTGATCAACGCCGTCGTGAGTTGCATGTGCAGCGGTGGTCCGCTTCCAGGATCACACTGCAGCGTCATAGCCATCCTCTACCCAGGAGATCTGTTGAAGGCTGACGGACAGGTGTGCAGGATCTCAATCCGGCACATCGACCCGCAGACCGGTAAACTGTATCACCGCGACGAGGCCGTCCGCATGCTGAAGTGTGTTGTGAATTGTCGTCGATGTCCCGCTTGTTAGTCGCCGAGGGTATCACACGCTGACCGCCTCCCTCTACCACGGTGCTTTAGGTTATTGCGCACGGCTGCCTAGCCGAGCTGGGGCGTCCCGATAGGAAGTGGGACGGGGCGCCGCCATCACAAGCAGTGGTGGATGACAGGCTCGTCGACTGTGACCACCCTATCTGCGATGTGAGTTGCACGTTTAAGCATTAAGGGGGGTGCACGTTTCTGTATGCCCCGCTCCTAATGTTCCGCGCGTGCTGGTGTTGTATGCAGAAAGTGCCGGACACAGTGCCGGACGGGCATGTCGGTACTCGCATGCTTGCCGCGACGTCGTTTGGGTGGGTGGCGAAACGGATGGACATGCTGACGGGCGAGAAGGGCTGTAGTGGGGTGAGCATCAAGAACATCAAGACAAAGGGGCTGAGGACGTTGCGCGACAACATGGTGGAGTACATCTGCAAGCGCATCGCCAAAAAACGATCTGCGGCGCCGACTTCTCAAGCCGTCGGACCCGCCAACAGTGCGATTGATGACGACGGCGCGGAAAGACAGACGGCGCCCCAAGCAGCAGTTGCCTCCCAGCATAAGGGGGACGTGAGGGTATCTACTAAAGGAGGAAACGGTGGAGGAGGAGTCGACGCAGCGGCATGAGCTGGAAGGAAGGAAGAGGAGTCGGAGTCGTCGGAGTCGGATTCGGAGTCAGAGTCGGAGTCGAAGTCGGAGGAGGAGGACGAGGCGGTGAAGGAGAAGGACAAGAAGGAGGACAAGGAGGTGGAGGAGAAGGACGTGAAGGATGAGGAGGAGGAGGATGGGAAGGATGAGGAGGAGGGGGTGGAGGAAGAGGTGGAGTACAAGGTGGAGTACGTAGATGGTACCGTTGAGGTGGGAGCGGCGGAAAGGGCGGTGGGGTCGGCGGATGAAAAGAACAAGGAAGAGGAGGATGACGATGCGGGTAATGCTACGAGGTCGGCAGAGCTGGGGAAGGAGAAGGAGGAGGTCGGCGTGGAGGCAACGACGGAAAAGGGCCAAGAGGAGGCGGCCTGCGAGGGAAGTGGGAAGGTGTCGGTCGACGCCGGCGAAGGGGCGAACATCACGGGCGTGCAGGAGACGGGGGAAGCATCTGGTCAGCAGGGTCCTGAAGACGACGTCGAGCAGTTGCGACGGGAGAATTGGTTGTTGAAGGCGGAGAATGCTCGGCTGGAGACGTTGTTCAGAGAGGAGAAGTCTCGGTTGGACAGGTTTTTTGTTGGGATACGTGGACTCATCGACAAGCTGCAAGTTTTGGCCGACCAGGTTGCCGTGTCCGACCGGACTGCAGCAAAACGGCTGCGGGACGCGATGTCGGCCATGTCGACGACCATCACGTGCAACATCACCAGCAGCTTTGACAAAGCGTGGAAGGCGATGAAGTCCTTCGCGGAAAAGGCGTCGGCGTGGTTGTTGGACTTCGACAATCCGGAGGGAAATATGGCATATGAACGCGCAAAAGCCGTCTCCGCCTTGGCCGACCACGTGGATGGGGTGGTGGGCGAAGCGAAGAGGGGTTTGGAGGAATACATCTCCCAACACCTATCTGCCGCGCAGGTCAACATCGCCACCACTGTGACTCACAGCTTCGCCGTGCAGCCGCCGCCTCCGCCTCAGCCCACACCGCCCGCGCCAACGCCCACCTTCCCGGACGAGCTCTTGAAGTCATTCAAGGCGGACGTCTTGAAGGCGGTGACGGAGGCCACCCAGCAGTCGTTCGTTGCTTCTAGGATGAAGATCATTATCGAGATGATCGGCACTGTGGCGCCTGGTCGGCGTGGGTCGTCGCCGTCGGCCAATGACGCCGAAGCTGCGCAACGGAGGGAGGCCGACAAGTAGGGCCAGAAGAGGGCGGGCGGTGGAGACGATGCGGTCAGCGTGAAGCGGAGCAAGGGAGCGGACGGGAGCCGCGGCCCTGTCGGCTCAAAACCTGCTGCTAGGAGCATGGTCGACCAGCTGAAGAAGAAGGCGGGGTGGAAGGTCATAAGGTCATCGCACAGCAAAGGAGATGGAAGCGGGGGGGCAGAGGGTGGCCATGCCGACGAGGTTGCCGCTAAAGTCGCACGACCGAAAGGCCTGCCTTGGGTCGCCGAGCGGACCCATCCTCAATCAAGCGGTGGGAAAAGCGAGAGCGACAAGGAGATCCCAACTGCTCGGACGGCGAAAGATGGCGGCGCTAGAACCGTCAAGGGACCGTCCGTCGTGGTGGTGGGGTCCACGTCGATTCCCCGTAACCCCCCTGCGGCTAGCAGTGCGCCGGCCGGCCAGTCAGCTTTCAACAACGATGGGCCGTCCCTTGCGGCCCCTCCAGCTCCAGTAGGCCCATCTGCCGCCATGGACGAGGCGAAGGATGCTGCGGTTAGGGGAGATGGTCCGTGCACCAATAAGCTGCCCGCAGGTGGGGACGCGCTCAGGAACTTGCTCCACCGCATGGAGGCCCATCACATGGATGCTGCCCCTGCCAAAACAGCACGTCGCTCCGTCACTCCGCAGGTCGCCGGCACAACGTCCGCTGCCCCACCTGTCGCTCCTCTAGTCGCCGCCCGACCGCCTTCGGACCCAAAGTCCGCAGTTCTTCGCGCCCAGTTAGGCGCACGTACAGCGCCAGTGCCACCAATGACCCAGCCGGAACCCGGCAAAAGCGCGACGCCGGCGTCAGTAAACGCGGCCGCACCGACACCCGATGCAGCTGTGGCCGATGTGGCGGCGGAGAAGGGTGTGCGTGCAGCGCTAGCCACCGGCGGCCAAGCCGCCAAAGACGCCAACATCGCTGCCATCCAGGCCCATTTTGAAGCACCAAAACGCATTGTGCACGCCCCTGCTCTGGCCATCATGGACACGGCGCATGTGGAGCCGTCGGCGACTCACGGAGGGAGTTCGGCGGAGCCGACGACTGCAACGGATGCTGTTGCTGAGAGAAATGAAAGGGAAACGGAAGGGGAAACCTGACACTGGGAAAGGGAAGGCGTTCGCTCAGAGGAGAACGCAGGCGATGTCGGCGGGGAAGGAGATGTCGGACGAGAAAGGAAAGAAGGCGGAAGGGAATCAGGACAAGACGGGCGGCAAGGGTAAGTCGGCAAAGAAGAAGGAGAAGGCGGAGGAGGAGGACGAGGCGGTCGGCGAGGGAAAGAAGGACCATGGACGAATGTCAAATCATAATGTTGTGTAGGCTGTAGTGGGGTAGCCTATATGGGGTACACAGTTCTAGGGTTGCATATTTGTACCACGTTCCATTCCTTAGTGCACTCATTCTCGTTTCTTCTCATGGTACCGAGCAGGTTTCCTCGTCGGAACTGTTCTTAGGGCCCACCAAGTCGAATTTTTTTCCTGCCCGGAGCGCGCTTCGCTTAGGCCCGAGTCGCGCCTCGTGTGCCCTCTCTACTGTCGCGCCCTTCCTAGGCCTCCTTCGGCCCCGTCGCGTCGCCCCTCGCGGCCTCCCTTGCGCCGCCCATACTCGGCCCGTCGCCGCCCTTTGCGGCCTGGTGCCGCCCTACTACGGCCCGTCGCGGCCCTTTCCGGCCCATCGCCGCCCTCGCCTGCGGCCCTGCCACCTACCAGCGGGCACGCCGCCCTTACCTGCGGCCCCGCCGCCCTTACCTGCGGCCCCACCGCCCTCTCTTGCGGCCCCGTCGCCCTCCCCTGCGGCCCCGCCGCTCTCACCTGCGGCCCCGCCGCCCTCACCTGCGGCCCCGCCGCTCTCACCTGCGGCCCCGCCGCCCTCACTTGCGGCCCCGCCACTCTCACCTGTGGCCCCGACGCCCACACCTGCGGCCCCGCTGCTCTCACCTCCGGCCCCACCGCCCTCTCTTGCGGCCCCGTCGCCCTCCCCTGCGGCCCCACCGCTCTCACCTGCGGCCCCGCCGCTCTCACCTGCGGCCCCGCCGCTCTCACCTGCGGCCCCGCCGCCCTCACCTGCGGCCCCGCCGCTCTCACCTGCGGCCCCGCCGCCCTCACTAGCGGCCCCGCCACTCTCACCTGCGGCCCCGTCGCCCTCTCTTGCGGCCCCGTCGCCCTCACCTGCGGCCTTGCCGCCCTCATCTACGACCCCGCCGCCCTCAACTGCTGCAGCGCCGCCCGCCACCCGAGCCGCCTCACCCAGCCGGGCAGCCGACCGCAGCGCCGCCCTGCAGCAGCACAACCGAGCCGCCCAGCAGCAGAGCAGCCGAGCCGCCGAGCCGCACTGCAGCCGAGCCGCCCAGCCGCCCAGCAGCCGAGCCGCCGTGCAGCCGAGCCGCCGAGCCGCCCAACAGCCAAGCCGCCGTGCAGCCGAGCCGCCCGGCCGCCCAACAGCCGAGCCGCCGTGCAGCCGAGCCGCCGAGCTGCCGAACCGCCCAGCAGCCGAGCCGCACTGCAGCCGAGCCGCCCGAGCAGCCCTGTCCGGTGAGCACACCGCCTTTGTCACTGCACTGCCCTTTCCCTACTGTTTGCACTGCTAGTCTACTGTTATCATGGCTGCCCCTAGTGTCCTCGCTTTTGATGCTGAGGGTCGAGCAATTGACTTTGACGTTTGGGTAGATGACCTGCAGCTGTTCTTACAGTGCGATAGGGCACACGGTCTCTCTCTCTTTGACCTCACCTCTGGCGCCTCTCCTGCCCCTGCTGCTGATGCTGACGCCACTGTTCGCTCCGCGACGCTGCTTCACGTCTTGCTGTGCATCGCCACCTGCCTACCACTGAGCGCGCCCACTTTAGTCAGTACAAGAGTGCTCAGACCTTGTACGAGGCTGTAGTTGCGCGCTACTCTTCCCCAGCCACTGCTGCACTGAGCCGCCTCATGCTACCGTACCTCTTCCCTGACCTTGCTGCCTCTCCCACAGTCGCTGACCTCATTACGCACCTCCGCACTAGTGACACTCGCTACCGCGCTGCGCTTCCTGCTGAGTTCTGCGCCAAGAACCCCCCCCCCATGTACATCACTATCTATTATATAGTCACCCGCCTCCCTGACTCCCTTCGTGTAGTCAGGGACCACTTCCTCTCAGTCTGTCCCACCACTCTCACTGTTGACCTCCTAGAGAAGGCCCTCCTAGCAGCGGAGAAGAGCATAGTCGCTGTAGGAGCCTCTCGTGGTGACCCTCGCACCCCCATCTTTGAGGGGTGTTCCCCTTCCCCCCTTTTGCCCTCTGTCGCCTCTACTGCTGCGGCCGACCTCGTTGGTCTTGAGTCGGTCGGTGCGGCGTCTGCCCCTAGCGGGAGACGCCGCTCTGGCAAGGGCAAGGGGGGCAAGGGCGCGGGTGGAGCTAGCGGGGGTGGTGGAGGTGGCGGTGGAGGCGGCGGAGGGAGTGGGGGTGGCGGTGGGAGTGGTGGCGGGGGTGGAGGTGTCGGTGGCAGCAGTGGAGGCGGAGGCGGCGAAGGCGGTAGCGGTGGGAGCGGAGGCGGCGGTGGTGGCGGAGGTGGGGGAGGCGGTGGTGGAGGAGGTGGAGCTGGTCGGGGTGGCGCTTCGCAGCGGAGCGGCTCCGGTGGTGGTCAGCGCCAGCAGCAGCAGCAGCAGCGTTCTCGGGACATCCCCCCCCCTCAGCAGCTCCGTGAGTGGTACGCTGCACGTCAGCGTGGTGGGGGTTTTGGTCCGTGCACCTACGTCCTTCGCACTGGCGACCGCGCGGGTGAGCAGTGTGGGGGTACCCACCCCACCCAGCGCTGCTTTGGCCGCCTGACGGACGCTTGGCGTCACCAATTCCCGGAGGCCACTGAGATCCCCCGCTGGGGAGAGCTGTCTAGGGCAGGTATAGCTATCTATGATTTTAACTTTGATGCTATTCTTGCTGCCATGTATGCTGTGACTATTAGTGATGAGGGTGACTGTTACCGGTGGTTTCCGCCCGACCCGGGCATTGAGACTGCTGCTCTAGGTGCTGGTGAGGCTGCTACTCTAGGTGCCAGTGCGGCTGTTGCTCCAGGTGCCAGTGCGTCTGCGTCCTCAGGTGCTGGTGAGTCTGCGCTCTCAGGTACCGCGTCGACTTCGGCCTCCCTCACCTTCACACTTGACTCAGGGGCTTCTCGCTCCTTCTTTCGAGACAGCACCATACTCACGCCGCTTGGTCGGCCGGTTGCAGTCTCCCTGGCAGACCCCTCTGGGGGTCCTGTCATATCTCACTTCTCTACTGTCCTCCCGTGTCCGGCTGCCCCCTCTGGCACCTTGTCTGGTCTTTACCTCCCCTCGTTCTCTACGAACTTGGTGAGTGGTGCTGACCTACAGGATGCGGGGGTTCACCAGTTTACTCCTGCGAGTCAGCGGGTGACCCGCTGCTTGGACGCTCGCACAAGCAGGCACCTGGCCATGTTTACGCGTCGGCCGGGGTCGAGCCTCTACACCCTGACCACTGAGTCTCCTCCTGTCCCTGCTTCTGGCCAGGTAGCTGCGTCGGGTCAGGTGTTTGCTGCAGCGTCCAGGTCTAGTCCTGAGTCTGCCCCCTGCTCGTGTCGCCTCCTATCTCACGAGACTCTCCTGTGGCACCACCGTCTTGGTCACCCCTCCCTGCCTCATCTCCGAGGCATGGCTTCCCATGTCCTTGTCTCTGGTCTTCCCCGGTCCCTCTCTCCCCTTCCTCCGGGGCCTGGTCCTTCCTGCGTCCCCTGTGTCGAGGGGCGGCTACGGGCTGCCCCTCACTCCTCTCAGTTTCCCCCGACAGAGGCCCCGCTGCAGACGCTTCATATGGACGTGTGGGGCCCGGCCCGCGTCCGTGGACAGGGTCACGAGCGCTACTTTCTGCTGGTGGTTGACGACTACTCGCGTTACACCACAGTCTTCCCCTTGCGCACCAAGGGCGATGTGACTGAGGTGTTGATCCACTGGATCTGCGCAGCTTGTCTCCAGCTCAGGAGGAGCTTCGGCTCGGACTTTCCTGTTCTGCGTCTGCACTCTGACCGAGGCGGAGATTTCTCCTCTGGCCTTCTGCGAGCCTACTGCCGTGCGCGAGGCATCCGCCAGACCTTTATGCTTCCGGACTCTCCACAGCAAAATGGGATTGCTGAGCGCCGTATTGGCATGGTCATGGACGTCGCTCGTACGTCCATGATGCATGCAGCTGCCCCCCATTTTCTGTGGCCGTTTGCAGTTCCGTACGCGGCGCATCAGATCAACCTTCACCCCAGGGTCTCCATGCCGGAGACCTCCCCAGCTTTGCAGTGGACGGGGAAGGTAGGCGATGTGTCTGCGTTCCGTGTCTGGGGATCTCGGGCGTTTGTCCGCGACTTGTCTGCGGACAAGCTGTCCCCTCGTGCTGCTCCTTACGTCTTCCTGGGGTTCCCCCCCGGACGCGCCAGGGTGGCAGTTCTACCACCCCACCCCTCGTTGTGTTCTGTCCTCCCAGGACGTCACGTTTGACGAGTCGATCCCCTACTACCATCTCTTCCCCTACCGCACTCCTTCCCTCCCCCCGCCTCCGCTCTTCCTTGTGCCAGGTTCCCCCCCGGTAGACCCCCTCCCCCCTCATGGTCCTGCCCCTTCAGGTGTGTCCTAGGTAGACGCAGTCGAGCCGGTCGAGGTTGCTGGTGACTCTGGTACTGCTGCGGGTGCTGAGCCTGGGGGTGCTGACTCTGGGGGTGCTGCGCGAGTGGGTGCTGCACCTAGAGGTGCTGAGCCTGGGGGTGCTAAGCCTGGGGTTGCTGAGCCTGGGGGTGCTGAGCCTGGGGGTGCTGAGCCTGGGGTGCTGTGACTGGGGGTGCTGAGCCTGGGGGTACTACGCCTCGGGGTGCTGAGCCTTGGGGTGCTACGTCAGGAGCTGCTGAGCCTGGGGGTCCCACGTCTAGAGCTGCTGCGCCTAGAGGTGCGGAGCCAGCGGCCGCTGGACCTGCTCGTGTGGCGTCTAGTGGTGCTGGGCCTGGAGGGTCTCTGGGTGCTTCGTCTCCGCGGGAGCCACTCTCTCCACAGGAGCGGCACGAGTGGTTCGCCCGGCGCTGGAGGCGTACTGCTGGAGCTGGAGCTTCTTCGGCTGCTAAGGGTGCTGGTGCCGCCGGTCCCGGAGGTGCTCGTCCTGGGAGTACTGTAGTTGCTGGGCCTGCCGGTATGACTGGAGCTGGAGCTGCTGAGGGTGATGGCGCTGAGGCTACTGCTGTCAGTCCTGGCGGCGGTTCTGCTAAAGGTGCTGCTGGTGCTGCTGGAGGTACTGCAGCTGGAGGTGCTGTTGGCGCTGGTGCTGCCGCTTAGGGTGCTGGTGCTGTCCCTCCTGTGCCTGGATTCGCCGCGCGGCCTCGGCCGTACTTCGTTCCGCTCCTTCAGCAGGTTCTTGGTCTTCCTCCTCCCTTAGAGTGTCCACCGCCTATCCAGTCATAGTCACAGTACCGCCGGCCTCCCCACTGCCTGCTCCTTCACCGTACACTGGTCCTACTGGAGGTCTTGCTGAGCTTCGTGAGCGTGCGTCTCGTCCTGCGTCTCCTATTCGTGATGCTCGCCCTAGTGGTGGCGGTTCGCGTCAGCGTCCTCCTCCTGTCCCTGGCATGCACCGGATGTCTCTGCGTCCGTCCACTGCTCCTCTGCGTGCCCCTTTGCCTTCTCCTCCTGAGTCCTCCCTTCCTGCACTTGCCGACCCGGAGTCGGACCCTCTTCGTGCTGCCAGTCCTACTGTCACGCGTCTCCTTGCTACTGTCGTCACTGACCCCTTCTTTGAGTCCACTGCTGCGTCCGCCCTAGTTGCTGAGCTCGTCGACTTTGCTGCTCGCTGTCGTCTAGACTACGCTGCTAGTCTTGTTACTGAGTCTGCGTCTGTCTGTCCTCCGTCCGTCGGGGTTGAGTGTGCTCTTGGCACGGACGTCCTTGAGGACAGGCAAGAGGAGTTCCAGTGTCTGGCTGCTGCTTCACCTCATCTCGTGTCCGTACTACTTACCCCTGAGGGAGACCCGGATGCACTCCACATCCCGACTCCGCGCTCTTACGCGGAGGCCGTAGAGGGTCCCTACTCCTCTCAGTGGCAGGCAGCTATGGATGCAGAGATGGCTTCCTGGAAGTCCACAGGCACCTACGTTGATGCGGTTCCCCCACCTGGGGCGAACATCGTCAGTGGCATGTAGATCTTTAGGGTGAAGCGGCCGCCAGGTTCTCCACCTGTCTTCAAGGCGCGGTACGTGGCTCGTGGCTTTAGTCAGCGGCAGGGAGTTGACTACTTTCAGACCTTCTCTCCCACCCCGAAGATGACCACTCTTCGGGTGCTGCTACACATAGCCGCTCAGCGTGACTACGAGCTTCACTCCCTCGACTTCAACACTGCTTTCTTGCAGGGTATCCTGCACGAGGAGATCTGGCTGCACCGTCCACCTAGCTTCACTGGGACTTTTTCTCCTGGCACCCAGTGGAGCCTCCGACGGCCAGTCTTCGGTCTCCGCCAGGCACCACGTGAGTGGCACGACACACTGAGGACTACGCTTGCGGCTCTTGGCTTTGCTCCCTCTACTGCCAACCCGTCACTGTTTCTACGCATTGACACCTCTTTGCCGCCGTTCTACATCCTCGTGTACGTCGACGACTTGGTCTTTGCCACTGCTGACACTGCTGGACTCGCCCACGTGAAGTCCGAGCTGCAGAAGAGACACACGTGCACAGACCTGGGTGAACTGCGCAGCTACCTTGGCTTGCAGATCACCCGGGATAGAGCACGCCGCACCATTACCCTGACTCAGTCACACATGGTGCAGCAGGTCTTTCAGCGCTTCAGCTTCACGTACTCCTCGCCTCAGGCCACTCCTCTGCCTACTCGCCACTCGCTCTCAGCTCTGCCTTCAGATGAGTCCGTAGAGTCGAGTGGCCCGTACCCAGAGCTTGTTGGCTGCCTCATGTACCTAATGACCTGCACACGACCTGACCTAGCATACCCTCTTAGCATTCTTGCACGCTATGTTGCTCCTAGGAGACACAGACCGGAGCACATGGCTGCAGCGAAGAGGGTGTTGCGCTACTTGTGCAGTACGTCGGGCATGGGGCTAGTGCTTGGAGGGCAGAGTCCAGTGGTCCTCATTGGGCACGCAGACTCTTCTTGGGCTTACGACCAGGCTACACAGCGGTCGTCATAGGGTTACACCTTCAGCCTTGGTTCCGGCTCTGTTTCGTGGCGGGCTACTCGCTCGTCTTCTGTTCTCGGCTCCAGTTGTGAGGCTGGGATCTGCGCCGGAGCCATGGCTGCTCAGGAGCTTCGCTGGCTCACCTACCTGCTGACTGACCTCGGAGAGCCGCCTCGTTCTCCTCCAGTGCTGTACGTGGACAACAAGGCCATGCTGGCCTTGTGTCGGGAGCAGCGCCTGGAGCACAGAACGAATCACATTGCTCTCCGCTACTTTCTTGCTCGTGAGATGCAGCAGCGTGGTCAGTTGCGACTTGCGTACGTTGCCTCTGAGGCCAACACTGCTGATATCTTCACTAAGGCACTTGCGCCTTGTGATCATCAGCGCTTCTGTACTCAGCTTGGTCTTGTGCCTATCTTGCCTCACTTGCTCACTTCTTGACCTTGCTTGTACTGTCACATATATATACTCCTGCTCTTGCCTGTTTAGCCTTTTATATATATGTGCTCCTGCATGTAAACTGGCCTTCTGGCCTTGAACTTGAGCTCGGAATGTGTGGTGACTTTGTGATCCACCCTGAGTTTTGCTTTGCTTTGCTTGACTGGTCTTCTGACCCCTTGTTCTCCCCCACTTTGCCTATGGGGGTGTGTGAAATCATAATGTTGTGTAGGCTGTAGTGGGGTAGCCTATATGGGGTACACAGTTCTAGGGTTGCATATTTGTACCACGTTCCATTCCTTAGTGCACTCATTCTCGTTTCTTCTCAACGAAGGGGTCATGGCATCCGCCACGACAAGTCGGGCGATGGGCTAGGTTGGGTGGGCGAGATAAAGGTAAACGGCGAGAATCGATACATAGGCAAGTCGAGAGACAAGATGAAGCTGGCCTATGAGCACTCGATTGTGTACGTCGTCTACGATGGCTACGTGAGCAAGGTGCTCATGGACGAGCTCACCGTCTTGAATCCAGGGGAGTTGGAGAAATGGAAGGAGGTGTGGGAGGAGGTCAAGTTCTTGCCGACTGGGATGTGGACAGTGATGTGGGCCCGAGGCTTGTGCCTCTCAGAATCCCAGCCACTAGACCACTGGGATAAAAGGGCTTGTTTCAGTAGCGGGTCAGTGCGCCCATAACCCCCCAGGCAACCGTGCCTGTAACCCTTCCCTAGGATCAATCGGGGATCACCAGTGGACCTCTGACACCCCCCCGCACTGGGATGCCCGAAGTGCATACACCGGGATTCGAACCCGAGACCTTCGCTCTGGATACCATCTCAGAATCCCAACCACTAGACCATTGGGATAAAAGGGCTTTTTAAGTAGCGGGTCAGTGCGCCCATAAACCCCCAGGCCAACATGCCTGTAACCCTTCCCTAGGATCAATCGGGGATCACCAGTGGACCTCTGACACCCCCCCGCACTGGGATGCCCGAAGTGCATACACTGGGATTCGAAGCCGAGACCGCTCTGATACCATGTCAGAATCCCAACCACTAGACCATTGGGATAAAAGGGCTTGTTAAGTAGCGGGTCAGTGCGCCCATAACCCCCCAGGCCAACGTGCCTGTAACCCTTCCCTAGGATCAATCGGGGATCACCAGTGGACTTCTGACAGGGCATCCAAAAGCAAGGTAAGACGGATACCGATCTGCCGAATGCTGTCGACTAAGTCGGTGTCATAATGCTAATGTTGACGAAGTCAGTGTCGTTTTAATGTATTTGCGCAGCAGGATCGACGATATACTCGGCAGGTGCCGTGGGTACACGAGTTCGGGTGATGCGCTTCACGACGTGCTCTTTCCGGCGATCTGGTTCCCCATCGTTCAAGACACGAAGGAAGGCCAGGCGGAGACGGACGCTGTCATGTCGGCAATGATAAATCGCGTGTCAATGTGCGCGGCGTTTGGGAAGGTCGCAGCGAGCGCGGCAAGGAAGGCGGGAGAGTCGGATGAGAAGACGGAGATGACGGCCCAGGCATTAGCGGCCTCCGCTTGCGCCGTCTGGTGCTTCGTGGAGACGGGGGCGTCGGTGCTTGGTGCTGTGGGCGGAGGGAAGGCGGCGGCGATGGTGGCAGGTGTGGGTGAGAAGACGGTTGAGGCCTTCAGGAAGGTGATGCACGCGGTGATCGACCTAGCGTCCAATAGGCAGCCACCCGCAGGGGAGGTTGCACAGAACATCGCACTGGCACTGCAAGGTCATGCAGTAGACAGGGCCTTCAAGGAAGGAGTTGTGGGAGTCGAGGCCGACATGATCGCTAGAGCGACGGTCGAGACCTTGGCGTTCTGGGGAATGTGCCCCGTCGCCGGGCCCAACCTCAAAAAGCACGGCATCGATGTGTCGTGTGACTCGCAGATGGACTACGATATAGAGCACAGGGGGAGGAAGGGGGAGAAGGTCAAGCAGGGCAAGGGCAACAAGAGGAAGAAGAGACAGACGGGCAAGCAGGGCATGGACAGTACGGAGGCATAGTTGGCGGGCGGAGGTGTTCTGGTTGCTAGGGTGTATGACATGGGCGGCGCTGATAGCGTAATATTTCTGTTGGATCCTATGTTGGTTGCGCATTTAACTCTTTGCTTGTGTTTGCTTGAATGCTGTTGAAAGGATGAAACAAGCTAACTAGAAGCCTTGTCGGCAAGGGCAGGGACAGTACGGAGGCGTAGTCGGCGAGAAGAGGAAGCGCTAGGTGTTGTTCTTGCTATGGTGTATAACATGTTGGTATGGCTGGCGCCGATTTCGTAGTAATTTAGATGAATTATTTTTTTCAGTTTGATTTACTTGTAGTTTTCTTTTGGGATGATATATATCACTGTCCGCACAGAAACATGCTACTCGGTGATGAACGATGAGCCTTGTCAGCGTATATGTCGGAGTCCTTCAAAATGTCGACGTCGACTTGTGTCTGAAGACATTGAGTGTTTGTCTGTCTGCAAGGATAGTAGTTTTGTTTCTTACAGGGAAACTGACAACATTCATCATTGCGGGGTCATGTGGGTTCGCAAGGGCCCTGCTGTGGGTTGTTTACAACCGGAACAGTAATTGCAGCATGGGGGGTTAAAGTCGGCCACAATTAATAGCATCAAACTATGCACACGCATATCCTACAAGGGTCTTCATGCCGACTTCTTGCGCTTGGTCGGAGGACGGTGCACCACTGCGGTCAGCTTGGCCGGTGTTGTCGACTTGGCCGGTGCGGTTGGCTTTGCCAGGTCGGCCTTGGTCTTCGGCATCTGCTCCTCCTAGGTGCCTGGAAACAGAGCAGCGATCCAAGCACTCGGGTTCAGGTTGAGCGCCACAAGAGCACAGGCGAGGCGTAGCTTCGAGACCGTCTAGGGGGCAAGCCCCTTGACTCCCATTCCAGGCTCTTTGGACAACGTTGGTGCCGTTCCCGGTTTGAGTACCATGAGGGCATCGCAGAAGGTCCCAATGCCCGGTGTTGCGATCTTGTTCAGTGCATTGACCACGGCTTCGGTGTCGGCATCGCTGTAGCTCGCGTGTAGCTGGCACACCGCATCCATGGCCTTCAGCATGCGGCGCACCCTCATGTTGAGTGCACCCAGCGTTGCGCCTTTGAGGAGGGTGTGGAGGTCGACGAGTCCTGGCTCAGCGACCCTATCGCAAAGATGACGGGTGTCATTTGCGGTGGCGGAGTTCCAGAGGTGCCAAGCGCGCACGGTCTTTGCCTACCGCCAAGGTTGCACCACGTTGAGCTCGTAACTAGCCTCCTCATCCGTCTGTGGGGGTGGCGGGGGTTTCTCATCCCCTCTCTTGGCTCCGGCTCCCGTGTTGGCCAAATCCGCGGAGCCACCCTCGCTCGGAGCTTGCGCGGTCGTCGACGGCGGATGTTAGAAACAAGAAGTGATCAAGTAGAAACATTTAGGAGTACAAGTATGAAACCCTAGAGAAATGTACCCCCTAAAGGCTAACCCACTGTAGCCTACAAAACAGAAACATATACAATGTTTGACACACCCCCATAGGCTAAGTGGGGGAGAACAAGAGGTCACAAGACCAGTCAAGAAAGACAAAGCAAGCTCAGGGTGGATCACAACGTCACCACACACTCTGAGCACAAGCAAGAGGCCACAAGGTCAGTTTACGTGCAGGTATATATATATAGATCACAGTACAGGCAGAGTCTACAACAAGTGAGGAAAAGTGGGCACAAGCCCTAGCAAAGTGCAGAAACGCTGATGATCACCAGACTGAAGCGCCTTGGTGAATATATCAGCAGTGTTGGCCTGAGTGGCCACATAACTCAGACGAAGCTGACCACGCTGCTGCAACTCTCGAGCCAAGAAGTAACGTAGAGTGGTGTGCTTCGTTCTGTGCTCCAATCTATGCTCCTCACACAAGGCAATGGCAGCCTTGTTGTCGACATACAGCACTGGAGGAGAACGAGGCCGCTCTCCCAGGTCGGTCAGAAGGTAGGTGAGCCAGCGTAACTCCTGTGCAGCCATGGCTGTGGCGTAGATCTCAGCCTCACAAGTGGAGCTGAGAACTGAAGACGAACGCGTAGAACGCCACGAAACTGAGCCAGAGCCAAGGCTGAAGGTGTAACCCTGTGTCGACCGCGGAGTAGCCTGGTCGTCAACCTAAGAAGCTTTTGAGTGCCCAGTGAGAACAACTTAGCTCCTCCCTCCAAGCACGAGCCCCATGCCCGATGTACTGCACAAGTAGCGCAATACCCTCTTAGCAGCATCCTAGTGCACCTTTCGGTGCCTACCAGGAGCCACGCAGTGGGCCAGAAGGCCAAGAGGGTACGCTAGGTCAGAACGAGTGCAAGTCATCAGGTACATAAGGCAGCCAACTAGCTCTGGGTAAGGACCACTCGGCTCTACGGACTCATCCTAAGGCAGAGCTGAGAGCGAGTGACCTATAGCCAGAGGAGTGGCCTGTGCTGAGGACCAGGTGAAGCCGAAGCGCTGAAAGACCTGCTGCACCATGTGTGATTGAGTCAGTGTGATGGTGTGACGTGCTCTGTCCCGGGTGATCTGCAAGCCAAGGTAGCTGCGCAGCTCACCCACGTCTGTGCACGTATGTCTCTTCTGCAGCTCCGACTTCACGTGGGCGAGTCCAGCAGTGTCAGCAGTGGCAAAGACCAAGTCGTCGACGTACACGAGGATGTAGAACGGCGGCAGCGACGTGTCGGTGTGTAGAAACAGCGACGGGTCAGCAGTAGAAGGCGCGAACCCAAGAGCCGCAATAGTAATCCTCAGTGTGTCGTGCCACTCACATGGCGCCTGGCGGAGACCGTAGACCCGCCGCCGGAGGCTCCACTGGGTACCACGAGGAAACGACCCAGTGAAGCCAGGAGGGCGGCGTAGCCAGATCTTCTCGTGCAGGCTGCCCTGTAAGAAAGTTGTGCTGAAGTCAAGAGAGTGAAGCTCGTAGTCACGCTGAGCGGCAACGTGCAGTAGCACCTGAAGAGTGGTCATCTTCGGGGTGGGGGAGAAGGTCTGAAAGAAGTCTACTCCCTCTCGCTGACTGAAGCCTCGAGCAACATAACGATACTTGAAGACAGGAAGAGAACCTGGCGGCCGCTTCACCCTGAAAATCCACATGCCACTGACGATGTTCGCCCCAAGAGGGGGAACCTCGTCGACGTAGGTGCCAGTGGACTTCCAGGATGCCATATCTGTGTCCATGGCTGACTGCCACTGAGAGGAGTACTCACCCGCGATCGCCTCAGCGTAAGAGCGCGGTCGGGATGTCTAGAGCATCTGGGTCTCCCTCAGGGGCAAGCAGGATGGACACGAGATGAGGCGCAACGGCTGTAAGACACTCAAGGTCCTCCTGTCTGTCCTCAAGGACGTCCATGCCTAGAGCACACTCACCCCCGACGGACGGAGGACAGACAGATTCAAACTCAGCAACAAGACTCGCGGCGTAGTCTAGACGACAGCGAGGAGCAAAGTCGACAAGCTCAGCAACTAGAGCAGACGCAGCAGCAGACTCAAAGGAAGGGTCAGTGACAGGAGTGGCCAGGAGACGTGTGAGAGTAGGACTGGCAGCACGAAGAGAGTTAGACTCCGGGTCAGCAAGGACAAGAAGAGAGGACGCAGGAGGAGACGGCAGAGGGACACGCTGTGGAGCAGTGGAAGGACGCAGAGTCATATAGTGTGTGCCAGGGACAGGTGGAGGACGCTCACGCGGAACACGACAACCAGTGCGAGCAGCACGAACAGGTGACACAGGACGAGACTCAGGCTCACGACGCTCTGTAAGACGGCTGTCGTACAAGTGTAGGGAGAAGGACCGGGAAGTGGCGAGGTAGGCAGTAGCTGTGACTGCGACTGGACAGGCGGAGGACACTCTAAGGAGGGAGGAGGACCAGGAGGAGGCGGCTGATGAAGAACCTGCAAAAGGAGCGGAACGAAGTACGGCCTCGGCCGTGAAGTGCCCCCAGAAGCAGCAGAGACAGCACCAGAACCTCTAGCCGGACTAGCACCAGCAGCACCTCCAGCAGCTCCAATCCCTGCAGCAGCAGCAGCAACACCTCCAGCAGCTCCAGGACCTCCAGCAGCTCTAGTACCTCCAGCAGCACCAGCAGCACCTCCAGTAGCACCAGCACCAGCAGCACCTCCAGCAGCTCCAGGACCTCCAGTAGCAGCAGGGCCTCTAGCGGGCGGCACCTCAACACCAGGAGGTCCACTCCGAAGGCTGCAGCGCCGAGCGTACCACTCGCGTAGCCGCTGAGGGGAAGGAGGCTCCGGCTGCGATACCGCACCCGCAGGACCACCAGCCCCAACTCCAGCAGACCCCCCAGCTCCAGTAGCCCCACGACGGAGGCTGTAACCCTGGGAGTACCACTCACGCAGCTGTTGTGAAGAGGGAGCGCCAACAGGCGCAGAACGGTCAGTCTCAAAACCCCTAGCCTCAGCTCCTCTACGCTTAGCACCCCCAGTCGCAGCACCCCCAGGCTCAGTACCCTTAGGCTCAGCTCCCGCGGTCTACGCACCCCCAGACTCAGTACCCCCAGTCTCCGCACCCCCAAGCTCAGCACCCCCAGTCTCAGTACCCCTAGACCCAGCATCACTAGGCTCAGCACGCTTAGCACCTCGCCAGGACCAGAGTCAACAGCTACCTCGACAGGCTCGACCGGGTCTACCTGGGAAACACCTGAGGGAGCAGCACCATGGGGAGGGAGGGGGTCTACCGACGGGACACCTGGGGTGAGGAAGAGCTGCGGGGGGGGGAGCAGGGCAGTGCGGTAGGGGAAGAGACGGTAAAAGGGTACCGACTCGTCAAAGGTGACGTCCTGAGAGGGGAAGACACGGCGCGAGGTGGGGTGGTAAAACTGCCAGCCAGGCGCGTCAGTGACAAAGCCACGGAAGACACTGGGAACGGCACGGGAGGAGAGCTTTGTCAGAGGTCCATTGGTAATCCCCGATCGATCCTAGGGAAGGGCTACATGCTCATTGTCATGGGGGGTTATGGGCGCACTGACCCGCTACATAACAAGCCCTTTTATCCCAATGGTCTAGTAGTTGGGATTCTGACATGGTATCTGAGCAAAGGTCTCGAGTTCGAATCCCATTGTGTGCACTTCGGGCATCCCAGTGCGGGGGGGTGTCAGAGGTCCACTGGTGATCCCCGATCGATCCTAGGGAAGGGCTGCATGCTCGTTGCCAGGGGGGTTATGGGTGCACTGACCCGCTACTTAACAAGCCCTTTTATCCCAATGGTCTAGTGGTTGGGATTCAGACAAGCTTGTCCGCGGACGAATCGCGGACAAAGGCTGGACATCCCCAGACTCGGAACACCGACGCATTGCCAACCTCCCCCGTCCAACGCAGGGTGGGCGAGGTCTCCGGAACGGAGACACGGGGCCAGAGGTTGAGCTGATGCGCGGCGTACTGCACTGCAAACGGCCACAAGAAATGGGGGGCAGCCGCATGGATCATGGAGGTACGAGCGACCTCCATGACTAGACCAATGCAGCGATAAGCAACCCTATTCTGCTGCGGAGAGGCCGGGAGAGTGAACGTCTGGCAGATGCCGTGCTCCGCACAGTAGGCTGCCTAGAGGTCAGAGGAAAACTCACCACCTCTGTCAGAGTGCAGACGCAGGACAGGAAAGTCCGACTGGAACCGCTTGCGAAGCTGGAGACGAGCAGCGCGGATCCAGGGGATCAAGACATCAGGGACCTCACCCTTGGTACGTAAGGGGAAGACCGTGGTGTAGCGCGTGTAGTCGTCGACGACCAGCAGAAAGTACCGCTCGTGGCCCTGTCCCTGGACGCGGGCGGGGCCCCACATGTCCAGGTGGAGAGTCTGCAGAGGAGCCTCTGTGGGAGGGAACAAGGAAGAGTGAGGAGCGGCGCGTTGCCGCCCCTCGACACAAGGAAGACAGGGAGGAGCAGGTGAGGGTGGGAGGGGAGGGAGAACCCTGGGAAGACCAGAGACAAGGTACCTAGAGTGCATGCCGCAAAGGCGCTGCACTGACGGGTGACCAAGGCGGTGGTGCCAGAGGACAGTCCTGTGCAACAGGGAGCAACACGAGCAGGGGGCCGACAACTGACCTGGCGCAGACGCACATACCTGAGGGGACTCAGTGGTCAGTGTGTACAATTCCGACCCCGGCTGCCGAGTTAAGGTAGCCAGGTGACGACCCGTTTGGGCACACGTGCAGTGCGTCACACGCTCGTAGGCAGGGGTGAACTGGTGAACACCCGCGTCCTGGAGCGCGGAACCCGCCACCAAGTTTGTAGAGAACGAGGGGAGGTAAAGGCTCGACAGCGTGCCAGACGGGACAGCAGGACAAGGGAGGGCAGTGGTGGAGGTCGCAAGGACCGGACCCCCTGAGGGGTCAGCCAGGGAGACAGCAACCAGTCTAGGAAGCTGCTCTAGGGCAGTGTGGCCGCGAAAGAAATAGCGGGAAGCACCTGAGTCCAGTGTGAAGGAGAGCAGTGCCTCAGTAGGCGCAGTACCAGCAGACGCAGACGCACTAGCACCTAGGGCGGCAGCCTCACCAAGACCTAGAGCAGCAGACGCACTAGCACCTAGAGCTGCAGCCTCACTGGTCCCAATACCCGGGTCGGGCGGTACACTCAAGTAACAGTCACCCTCAACACTAATAGTCAATGCATACATAGCAGCAAGGATAGCATCATAATCAAAAGCAAAGATATCGATCCCCTTCTTAAGTAGATCAGCTCAGCGGGGCAGCTCAGAGGCGTCAGGAAACTGCTCGCGCCAGGCGTCGTCGAAGCGAAAGAAACAGCGCTGCGCCGTGTGAAACCTCCCACAGGTCTGGCCAGTGCGATCACCTGTGCGGATGACGTACGGGCAAGTACCCCCACCCCTAGACCCCCCACGCTGAGAGTACCATTCACGGAGCTGCTGGGATGACTGGGTCTTGCTGGGACGCTGCTGCTGCTGCCTCTGGCCGCCGCCAAACCCGCCACGCTGCACCGCTCCACCGCGCCCTCCACCAGCTCCACCGCCGCCATCACTGCCACCCCCACCCCCACCACCTCCACCACCGCCGCCTCCACCACCCCCGGCTCCGCTACTGCCCCCCCCCACCACCAGCACCACTCCCACCACCGCCACCACCGCCGCCGCCCCCTCCACCCCCTCCACCACCACCTCCCCCGCCGCCACCTCCGCCACCTCGGCCCCCCTTGCCCCTGCCGCCCTTGCGCCACCCACTGGGAGCGTACGCAGCTCCGACCCCCTCAGTACCTAGGAAGTCGACAGCAGCAGTAGATGTAATGGAGGGGAGAAGGGGGGAGGGGGAACATCCCTCAAAGAAGGGAGTGCGAGGGTCTCCACCAGAGGCACCTACAGCTGCAATGCTCTTCTCAGATGCAAGGAGTTCCTTCTCGAGCAGGTCGACAGTGAGGTCTGTGGGGGAGAGAGCGAGAAAGTGGTCCCTGACAGCGCGAAGAGAGTCAGGGAAGCGAGTGACTAGGTGGTAGAGGGTGAGGTACATCGGCGGGGGGTTCTTGGCTAGGAAATCGGGGGGGAGCACGGCACGGTAGCGGAGATCACTAGTACGGAGGTGAGTGATGAGGTCAGCTACAGTGGCAAAGGCAGACAGATCCGGGAAGAGATAGGGCAGTGAGAGATGGCCTATCGCAGCAGTAGCAGGGGAGGAGTAGCATGCAACTACAGCATCGTACAACTTCTTAGCGGTCTTATGCTGGCCGAAGTGCTCGCGCTCATCTAACGGCAGGTGACTGCGAACGGCTAGGCGAGCATGGGTGTCACGAGTCTACCACTGTAAGCAAGCAGTGATGTCAGCCGTAGCAGCAGGTGCGGGGGCAGCGCCGGACGTGTGGTCATATAGGGAAACGTCATCCTTGGCAGTGATCTGGAGGAATAGGTGTAGGTCATCAAGCCAGACATCAAACTTAATTGGTCGGCCCTCTGCGTCAAAAGTGAGAACAGTGGGACTGGCCATAGTTGCACTAGCAGTAGCAGCATTAGCAGTAGCAGTAGCAGCAGTAGCAGTAGCAGTAGCAGCAGTAGCAGTAGTAAGAACAGGAGCAGTAGGTGCTGCACGTGGGGCGGCGCGGCTCGGTCAGGGCGGCGCGGCTCGGGCAAGGCGGCGCGGCGCGGCGCGGCTCGGACTAGGCTACGCGGCACGGCGCGACGGTGGGCCTGCGCGCGGGCGGCTGTAGCGGGCGGTCCGTGGCTATGCGTGGGCTGCAGTCGAGCGCGGGCGGCGGCTTACAAGGGCGACGCGGCGGCCTACGGGCGGGGCTGCAGCGCTCTGGACGGCCAGGAGGGCCGGTCGACGGGTGGCTAGCGGGCTGCTCGTGGCAGCGCTAGTCGCGCGGGCGGCTAACAATCCGCGCGCGCGCAGAAAAGGCCGCGCGCGAGCTGCTAGCGGGCTACGTGCGCTAAAAAAAAAAAAAGACCGCGCGCGGCACTAGGGAGCTGCGCACGGGCAACAGGAGAAGGAGAGGCGCACGAGGGTGCACTAGGAGAGAGGCGCTCGAGGGCGCTAAGTCGATACGGCGCTCGAGGGCGCTTCTAGCGGTGGGCCCTTAGGTAAGTGGTCCTAGGTCTAGAACCTAAGATCTTATTACCATGTTAGAAACAAGAAGTGATCAACTAGAAACATTTGGGAGTACAAGTATGAAACCCTAGAGAAATGTACCCCCTAAAGGCTAACCCACAGTAGCCTACAAAACAGAAACATATACAATGTTTGACTGCAGAGACTCCGGCACTCTCCGTGCTTTTGACACACGGAGTGCCTCGATGAGACGGGTTATCTCGGCGGTGAGCGATGCGATGGTGCCGTCGTGCTTCTCGAACTCCTTCTGGAAGTCAATCTTCTTGTTGGCAGAGCGCTCAATCTCGTACTTCAGCGTCTCCTTGAGGGACATGTTGTAGTACTCGGTGTCCAAGCGGACAAAGATTTCTTGCAGTGGTAGGACAAAGACGTTAGCTGCGAGGTGGCTTCGAATACACTCGATACATCTCGTCGCCGCATTATTGTCGACTTACCTCTGCCTGAATTTGGGTCAGATTTTGGCGCTTGTTGATCGTTTTGGTGTTGATGCTCTCGACCCGTTTCGCCCAGTGTTGGAAGAGGGGGATCCGGCAGAGCTTAGAGCCTTGGACGTACGGGTGCCATGGGGTGCGGACCAGCCTCACCGCTAGGTCCTCAGCGACGATGCGGCGCAGCATCTGGAGGGTACGCCAGAAGTGCACGGCGGCTTTGTCGGCGTCGGACCCCTTGGCAGCAAGATGTTCCGCCTGCAATTCGTCATGTGCATTGGATGTTCAGGTACGGTCGGCAACACGACACAAAGACAAGGCTACGTTGGCGTCGCTTAACATACCTTCTTCAGCATGGCGCCGACGGCGGGGAAGATGTGCTCGGCGATGAGCTTCAGGAGCTTCTCGGTGGGCGGCACCCCACTCCGACCCAAGAAGTAGTCCTGCTTGTAACCAGAGTAACCGGCCTTCATCATCACCACCCCCACCGGAATGGCAGTGATGTACGCTCGCGTCATCTTGTCGAGCGACCAGTGACCCAGCTCCGCGATCTCGGCGCGCGGCGTGCCTTCGATGGCTAGGTCATGGGCCCCTTCTGCTCGAGCGGCGTGCACGTTCCTCTTGCGGAACACCTTGTTGGTGTCCCACATTTGCCGCGTCCAGCGTTGGTGGCTTGCCGCAGAAAGCTCATTTTGTTCGGCGTCGTTGCGGGCGAAGAAGAGATGCTTCTTGTACCACCGCTCGCGCTCGGAGGTGTCCAGCGGCGGAAGGAAGTCAGCGCCGTGAAACTGACCAATCTGGTCGAGGATGAAGTGCAATCGCAGGCCGGACTTGCCGACGGCACACAACTCCGCTTCGAGGTGCCACGCCGCGTAGCTCTGATGAAGACGCGCATCCTTGGATGTCTTCGAGTTCCGCGCAGCGATCACCATGACGACCGGCTGGTTCTCTGGGTTCACCGACGAGGTGCTCGCCAGTCGGTACAAGAAGATGTCGGGGAGTGTGATCTCGCGGTTGCTTGCACCGCGTAGGAGAGTGTGGTGGGAGAGTAGCGTGAGCACCTTCACGAGCAGAAACCTCTACAAAGTTTGTGAAGGAGTCGTTGCCCGCGGGTTCCACGCCTTGGCCACCCACGTCGGCAACACCCTCATCATGATCTGGCAAAACTGTTCGGCGGTGTAGGCATCGCCGATGGTTCCGCGACGCCGGTCAGCGCAATTCCTGCCCACAAAGCCAAGAGTAAGGGTTATTTAGGGCGGCGTCGACTTCAGAGTGTGGACGACAGGGGTTAAACCTCAACTTACTTGATGTCCCGCTCGTTCTTGGTGCGAATTATGAACCGCACCTCCGATCTGACAACCGATATCTCCCGCATGATGCTCAGCTCCGTCTCCCGGTAGAGCGTCGCCTCCACTCTCGCTGCCATCTGACATGCCTTTATGCGCTCGAGGAGCGTGTGCACCGTTGTAGATTGCACTGGCTCGGTTCGCGTGGCGTTGTTCCCCTCCTCAATGGACTCGGCGTCAAGCTTACACTCACGAACTATGAACTTCACGAAGGCGCGAAGCCGGGTCTTGGTGACCCTAGGGCCGTGCAGCCACCCGTACGCCTGGGGGACATCGGCTTCTTTGTCCCAATTTTTCTTCTTGTTTTTCCGGATGTAGTGGCCTATCTCGCCGACGTGCCTAAGTCTGTGCTCCTGGGGAAGTTTGTCGCGTGTTTGCCTCAAGATCTTCGCCGCCCACCTCTTGTAGTGGTAGATCCATGAGGTGTACAACCTCAGCGTGCTGTTCTTTCTCCAAGGTTTGCAGGTGGTGTAGGGCGTCCATGACGAGCACGTCAATGCACGCGTAAACCATGTCTTCCTCGACGAAGTCTTCCGCCCTCCACTGTTCGTGCGGCACCGACATTTTCTCCTCGTCCTCATCCTCGTCCTAGCAGTTGATCTATGTATTCAAGTTCCCGCCTGAGTCGTTCTTCCAAGGTGCGCGGATTAGTGCTACGTTGTGGACGCTCGTCGCTTTCGTCATCGCTTTCCTCCTCCTCCTCCTCCTCCTCCTCCTCCTCCTCCTCCTCCTCCTCCTCCTCCTCCTCCTCCTCCTCCTCCTCCTCCTCCTCCTCCTCCTCCTCCTCCTCCTCCTCCTCCTCCTCCTCCTCCTTGTGAGAGTACGACGGCTTATGCCAGCTATGCTTGCTTGCCTTTACTATATCATGCTATTTCTAGCATAGGATAATCATATGCATGCATGAATTGCTTGATTTCCTAGGCTAGGTGCTTTCCTATATTTTATTATAGTTATAGCACCGAGCTAGGTTGCGTGCACCGAATTCTGGCTTTTCGGTTGCCACCGAATTGCCTTCTACCGAATTCGGTAAGGATCTGTTCGGGACGCTTCGCGACCCGCGGAACCTTCGCGTAACACCTGGTTACGGGGCCTTGTGTCGAGCCTATATATAGCCTCGTGTTGTACCCAGGTTTCATTCAATTCAAATCAAACTCTCTTTTCTGAGCTCGATCCTAGATCCTCACACTTGGTAATCAGAGCCTGTTTGCAAGCGAAGTTTTTCGACCGCTTAAACCTAGCTTTTAAAACCGCGGGGGCGACGACGGGAAGCGCCGATTTCGGGAACGTAAACCAGTTCCGCGCTATTTTCTAACGTCCCCTCGAACCGGTTTTCGAACACACCTCAGGTCCAGTGGCGAAAAAGTTGGAATTTCGACCGTCGGATCGATTCGAATCTCAACGGCCCTGAGAATTTCGACCAAAACGGTTGGAATTTGGAACGTCGGATCGAATTTCTTCTCAACGGCCGAGATCGGACGCGAATTTCGACTAAGGGAGAATTACGCGACCTACAGAATCAACGCTCGTCAATTCTACAGTCGATTCGACTCACAGTAAGATGACCAGCGGCTAGAATTCAATTATTTGTGTCGCAAATCTTCCTGTAAATCGCCAAATGGAGGAAAACGGTGATAATTCCGTACGAAAACTTACGGAGTTACACACCCGCTTGGATCAGACGCGAGCGGCACTCCAGCGAATAGAGGAGCTTCTTGCGAACCAGTTGGTAGCCGCCACAGCAGCAGCGAACGCAACAGCGAATGCAGCAGCGACGTCAACTGCAGCAGCGGCGACACCGACACTTAACCCAGCACCAGCGGCAGCGGCTACAGTGAATCTTGAGGCGGCACGTCCGAGGCTACCGGAGACGTTCAATCCGAATGCGAGAGACACTGACGTTCGTCGATTCATTGCGACTCTCGAAATTTACTTCGAGGCCGTTGGCTATACGACCGCGACACACGATGCAATGCGGATTCGGCTCGCAGCGACACTGTTACGAGGACCGGCGCTCGAGTGGATTTACAACAACAATAAGATCCGAGGCGAGGGGTCATGGACGCAGTTTCGGGAAGCTTTAATTCAACGTTTCGAACCAATCAACTCCAGCTACATGGCGCGGCAGCAGATTCATCGGCATAAACAATTCGGCAGTGTAACACAGTACACGCAGTGTCAGAACATGTAGCTTACTTATTTGTGTAGGCTATAGTGGGGTATCCCATAGGGGGTACAACACAGTTAGGGTTTCCTATTTGTACTCACTTCGTTCATAGTCATTTCATTCTCGTTCTTTCTTTCACATGGTATCAGAGCGGTCTCGGGTTCGAATCCCGGTGTATGCACATGTTGGCCGTTGCCACTGTGCTCAGTCCTAGGCCTCCCAGTGTGGGGGGGTGTCAGTAGAGCTACACTGTGAGATCCCCGATCGATCCTGGGGGGGTTACATGCGCGTTTGCCTGGGGGTTATGGGCGCACTGACCCGCTACTGAAACAAGCCCTTTTATCCCAATGGTCTAGTGGTTGGGATTCGGGGGCGGTGGCGGAGGAGGTGGGGGCGGCGGGGGGAGTGGGGGTGGCGGTGGGGGTGGAGGCAGGAGTGGAGGTACTGGTGGCGGCAGTGGAGGCGGAGGTGGCGGCGGAGGTGGTGGCGGAGGTGGCAGTGGGAGCGGCGGGGGCGAGGGTAGCGGTGGCGGCGGTGGCGGCGGAGGCGGAGGTGGCGGTGGTGGAGGTGGTCGGAGTGGCTCGTCCCAGCGGAGCAGCACTGGGGGTGGTCAGCGCCAGCAGCAGCAGCAGCGCTCTCGCGACGTCCCCGCCCCTCAGCAGCTCCGTGAGTGGTACTCGCAGCGTCAGCGTGGTGGGGCGTTCGGTCCCTGCACCTACGTCCTTCGCACCAGTGACCGCGCGGGTGAGCAGTGTGGGGGCACCCACACCGCTCGTCGCTGCTTTGCCCGCTTGACCGACGCTTGGCGCCAGCAGTTTCCGGAGGCCTCTGAGATCCCCCGCTGGGGAGAGCTGTCTAGGGCTGGTGTAGCTGTTTTTGATCTTGACTTTGATGCTATCCTTGCTGCCATGTATGCTGTGACTGTTAGTGACGATGGTGACTGTTACCGGTGTTTCCCGCCCGACCCGGGCATAGGTACTGCTGCGTCAGGTGCCAGTGAGGCTGCTGCTCTAGGTGCCAGTGCGTCTGTGCTCTCAGGTACTAGTGAGTCTGCCCTCTCAGGTACTGTGTCGGGTTCTGCCTCTCACACCTTTACCCTTGACTCTGGGGCGTCTCGCTCCTTCTTTCGGGACCACACCACTCTCACGCCGCTTAGTCGGCCTGTTGCGGTGTCCCTGGCTGACCCCTCTGGGGGTCCTGTCCTGTCTCGTTTCTCCACAGTCCTCCCGTGTCCGGCGGCTCCCTCTGGCACCCTGACTGGTCTTTACCTCCCCTCGTTCTCTACGAACCTGGTGAGTGGTGCTGACCTACAGGATGTGGGTGTCCACCAGTTCACTCCTGCTCATCAGCGGGTGACGCACTGCACAGAGGCTAGCACAGGTCGTCACCTGGCTATGTTTACACGTCAGCCAGGGTCGAGCCTGTACACACTGACCACTGCTTCTCCTCCAAGTGCTCAGTCTAGTAGAGTCCCTTCGTCTGGTCAGGTGTTTGCTGCAGCGTCCAGGTCTGGTCCTGAGTCTGCCCCCTGTTCGTGTCGCCGTCTGTCTCACGAGACCCTCCTCTAGCACCACCGCCTTGGCCACCCCTCTGTGCTTCGGCTCAGAGGCATGGCCCCCCGCTCTTCTTGGTACCAGGTCCCCCCCCGGTAGACCCCCTCCCCCCTCAGGGTCCTGCCCCTTCAGGTGTGTCCCAGGTAGACGCGGTCGAGCCAGTCGAGGTCACTGGTGACTCTGGTGCTGCTGCGGGAGCTGAGCCTGGGGGTGCTGGGACAAGAGGTGCTACGCTTGGGGGTGCTGAGCCTGGGGGTGCAGAGTCTGGGGGTACTGGTGCTGTCCCTGCTGTATCTGGCGTCGCCACGCGGCCCCGCCCGTACTTCGTTCCGCTCCTACAGCAGGTTCTTGGTCTTACACCTTCTCCTGGTCCTCCTCCTACTCCCTTAGAGGGTCCACAGTCTGTCCCGTCACGGTCACAGCTACAGCCTGCCTCCCCTTTGCCTGCTCCTTCTCCCTACGCTGGTCCGACTGGAGATCTTACTGAGCGTCGTGAGCCTGCGTCTCGTCCGGCGTCGCCTGTTCGTACTGCGCGCACTAGTGGTCGCGGTTCGCGTCAGCGTCCTCCTCCTGTCCCTGGCACGCACCGGATGTCACTGCGTCCGTCCACTGCTCCTCTGCGTGCCCCTTTGCCTTCTCCTCCTGCTTCCTCTCTTCCTGCTCTTGCCGACCCGGAGTCGGACTCTCTTCGTGCTGCCAGTCCTACTGTCACGCGTCTCCTTTCTACTGCTGTCACTGACCCTTCTTTCGAGTCTTCTGCTGCGTCTGCCCTTGTCACTGAGCTCGTCGACTTTGCTGCGCACTGTCGTCTAGACTACGCTGCTAGTCTTGTCGCTGAGTGTGAGTCTGTCTGTCCTTTGTCCGTCGGGGGTGAGTGTGCCCTTGGCACGGACGTCCTTGAGGACAGGCAGGAGGAGTTCCAGTGTCTGGCCGCCGCTTCACCTCATCTCGCGTCTGTACTGCTAGCCCCTGAGGGAGACCCGGATGCACTTGACATCCCGACTCCTCGCTCGTACGCGGAGGCGATAGAGGGTCCCTACTCCTCTCAGTGGCAGGCAGCTATGGATGCAGAGATGGCTTCCTAGAAGTTCACAGGCACCTACGTTGACGCTGTTCCCCCTCCTGGGGCGAACATCGTCAGTGGCATGTGGATCTTCAGGGTGAAGCGGCCGCCGGGTTCTCCACCTGTCTTCAAGGCGCGTTACGTGGCTCGTGGTTTCAGTCAGCGGCAGGGGGTTGACTACTTTCAGACCTTCTCCCCGACCCCGAACATGACCACTCTTCGGGTACTACTGCACGTCGCTGCTCACCGTGACTACGAGCTGCACTCTCTCGACTTCAGCACTGCTTTCTTGCAGGGCACCCTGCACGAGGAGATCTGGCTGCGCCGCCCTCCTAGCTTCACTGGGTCTTTCCCTCCTGGTACCCAGTGGAGTCTCCGGCGTCCAGTCTACGGTCTCCGCCAGGCGCCACGTGAGTGGCACGACACACTGAGGACTACGCTGGCGGCACTTGGGTTTGCTCCTTCTACTGCCGACCCGTCGCTGTTTCTGCGCACCGACACCTCTCTGCCGCCGTTCTACATCCTCGTGTACGTCGACGACTTGGTCTTTGCCACAGCTGACACTGCTGGACTCGCCTACGTGAAGTCCGAGCTGCAGAAGAGACACACGTGCACTGATCTGGGTGAGCTGCGCAGCTACCTTGGCTTGCAGATCACCCGGGACAGAGCACGCCGCACCATCACCCTGACTCAGTCACACATGGTGCAGCAGGTCCTTCAGCGCTTCGGCTTCACGTACTCCTCGCCTCAGGCCACTCCTCTGCCTACTCGCCACTCGCTCTCA